TTTTTAATAGAGATGGGGTTTCACCGTGTTAGCCGGGATGGTCTCCATCTCCTGACCTCGTGATCTGCCTGCCTCGGCCTCCCAAAGTGCTGGGATTACAGGCGTGAGACACTGCGCCCGGCCTGGGTGCCCTAATTTGTTTTTGTATTTTTAGTAGAGCTGGGGTTTCATCATGTTGCCCAGGCTGGTCTTAAACTCCTGACTTCAAGTGATCCACCTGCCTCAGCCTCCCAAAGTGCTGGGATTACAGGCGTGGGCCAAGGTGCCCGACCAGTGTTGTTTTTAAGATGGGCCAATTGCAATGAGCTTGTTGCATGACAGAGTGGGCCTGAGGGGCAGGAGAGTGCAACCCCTCTGCTCTGGGGAAGCCGGCCTCAGGCTGGGGCACGGGCAGCCGAAACCCTCAGCGGCTGCTCCTGGGCTGTGGAAGAGAGTTTCTGTGGGGAGGGATGGGGTCACGTGAATGGAGGGAATGGAGGAGGCCTGCAGCCCAGCACTGAGGCCTACTGGGGAGGCAGCTCAGGAAGGCCAGAGTCAGGCCCAGCCCAAGACCTTTGCCCTGAAGCTAAAATAGGCCCTTGAGCCTGGTTTAGAATGGGTGGCCTCCAGCCAGCCCATTGGTCCTGGGGTGGTGTGGGAGGGAAAGGGCCAGTTTGGGACCGCAACATCTCCAGGCTGCATGTAGAGCTGCCCCCGTCATGGTCTTGGGGCCCAGAAATCATCTGCGGCCCCAGAAGGATACCACTGTGGGTGGGCCCAGCCAGAGGGGCACCATGAGATCTGCCGCTTGGCAGGGTGCGGCTGCCAGGGGAAGCACCCTGACCCCAGGACACTGGGCCCAATGCCCGCCCTGCCCCGTCCTGAAGGGGTGGCCTGCCCCTCCACACCTGTGGGTGTTTCTCGTTAGGTGGAACGAGAGACTTGAGAAAAAAAATAAGACACAGAGACAAAGTATAGAGAAAGAAAAGCGGGGGCCCAGGGGACTGGCGCTCAGCTTACAGAGGACCCACGCCGGCACCAGTCTCTGAGTTCCCTTAGTATTTATTGATAATTATCTTTATCATCTTAAAGATAAGGGAGTGGCAGGACAATAGGATCATTGTAGGGAGGAAATCGGCAGTAAGACATATGAACAAAAACCTCTGTGACATGAGTAAGTTTAAAGGAAAATGCTGTGCCTTGAGATGCATATGCAAACATCTCCATAAACTTTTTGGCATTACTTCAGCCTATCACATGGGGAGAAACCTTGGACAACACCTAGCTTTCCTAGGCAGAGGTCCCTGCGACCTTTGGCCATGTACGTGTCCCTGGGTAGTAGAAATTAAGAGAATGGTGATGACTTTTAACCAGCAAGCTGCCTTCAGGCACTTGTTTAACAAAGACACATCCTGCACAGCCCAAAATCCATTAAACCTTGAGTCACCGCAGCACATGTCTCTTGCAAGGACAAGGTTGGGGGTAGGGTCACAGATTAACAGCATCTCAAATACAGGACAAAATGGAGTCTCTTATGGCTACTTCTTTCTATATAGACACAGTAACAGGCTGATCTCTCTTTCTTTTCCCCACACCGTCCCGCCCTGCACATGGCAGGACAGAGTCCTTGGGCCTCAGGCACCCAGCTCCCCACCCCAGCCCCACCCACAACACTCAGGGTCAGGCTGGCTGGACCGGGCAGGAGGCGGCATCTGGACTCCCCCTTCAGAAGGCAAAGCTGCCCTGAGATCTGCCTTCCCCTTCCCCCAGACTTCATGCCATCACCACCACAGTAGAGATAAGGCCTCTAGGCTCAAAGGCCAGAGAAGGAGCCCACAGGGAGGGCAGGGCTGGGAGCCACAGCCTCCCTGCCCCGGGGGCTAGAGCTGGGGTCTTACCCCAATCTTATCCTGCCCCAAGCCCGGCCAGGTGGCTGCCAGGGCCCAGGTCCGTCTTCCTGGTTGTCTGTGTTGGAGCTTCCTGGGGCTTTCTCTGGCCTAAGGGAGCATGATGCAGCAGGCACCTTTTCAGTTCCTTTGATTCCATCGCAGTCCCCAACAGGGACCATAGGCCAGGACCCAGGAAGAGGTTCATGTCCCCACCCCAACTGGGGCCACCAAGGGTGTCTGGGCAGCCTCTGTTGGGAGGGGCAGAGGCATGGACCTGGGAGCTCTCAGGCTCTGGGGGCATCTGTGCACCTCTGCCCTGCGTCCCCCAGCTTGGAGGCAGCCTCCAGATGGAGAGCCAGAAGGGGACACTCCGGCTCTGCCCCACAGCTTGAGGGGCAGCAGGAAGAGGACAGAAGCCCACCCAGGCTGGCCGGGCGCGGTGGCTCACACCTGTAATTCCAGCACTTGGGGAGGCCAAGGCAGGCGGATCACCCGAGGTTGGGAGTTCAAGACCAGCCTGACCAACATGGAGAAACCCTGCCTCTACTAAAAATACAAAATTAACCGGGTGTGGTGGTGCCACCTGTAATCCCAGCTACTCGGGAGGCTGAGGCAGGAGAATCACTTGAACCTGGGAGGCAGAGGTTGCAGTGAGCCAAGATTACGCCATTGCACTGCAGCCTGGGCAGCAAGAGCAAAACTCTATCTAAAAAAAAGCCCACCCAGGCTGCCTGTCCAGGGGAAGGGGCCCAGCCCTCGCCCCCCACCAGCAGTGGCTTCAGGCTACTGGGGAGGATCTGCCGCTGGAATGGTTAACCCAGGCATCTCCAGCAGCCAATCACAGAGCTCTGCAGGAATACCTGGGAGAGGTCCTCATGCAGGCCGGGCCGGGCGGGTCCTAGCCCAGCCCCAGTCTGGCCCTGGGCAACCCCAGCAAAGCCGCCCTCAGCCAGCCCAGAAGCACTGGGCCTTGGCCACAGCAACACCCACTGAGCACGCTGGGAGCTGAGTATGGCGTCCCTGGTCTCGCTGGAGCTTGGGCTGCTGCTGGCTGTGCTGGTGGTGATGGTGACGGCGACGGCGACGGTGACGGCGACGGCGCCCCCGCCTGCTGGTCTGCTGAGCCTACTCACCTCCGGCCAGGGAGCTGTGGATCAAGAGGCACTGGGCGGCCTGTTAAATACGCTGGCGGACCGTGTGCACTGTGCCAGCGGGCCGTGTGGAAAGGTAACAGCCCCACCCGACGGGTCCCCCAGCCCTGGCCTCTTCCCGCCCGCTCCGCCCTGCCAACTGGCAGCAAAGGGCCCTGGGCAAACTCCAGGAGGTGGAGGAGGCTGGCGGCAGTACCTGGGCACCCTGGCCCTCCCCGCAGGCCAGAGCCCACCCTCATGCTCATGAGGGCAGACAGGCACACCTCTCCAGGGACACACAGTCCCTCTTCTCCCCAGGACCCCAGGGCCACCTCCCCCTGCCGGCCCCCAGCCATCAAATTGGCAGTGGCTCCAGGGGAGTCCCCTGGGGATGGGGGACCACTGTTGGGGACCCCTCTCCGTGTAGTTGGGGAAGCAGAACAGGGTCCTGGGGAGACAGAAGGGCACAAGGGGTTGAGAGAGGATGGTGGACGTGGTTGGACCTGAGAGGGAGAGGAAACAGGCCTGTGGGGAAGCCCCTTGGCCAGGCCTGCCTCTCCCCTCCCTGGTGGGCCCAGAGCCCCTCCTCACCTGTCTCTGCCCACAGTGCCTGTCTGTGGAGGACGCCCTGGGCCTGGGCGAGCCTGAGGGGCCAGGGCTGCCCCCAGGCCCGGTCCTGGAGGCCAGGTACATTGCCCGCCTCAGTGCCGCCGCCGTCCTCTACCTCAGCAACCCCGAGGGCACGTGTGAGGACGCTCGGGCTGGCCGCTGGGCCTCTCGTGCAGACCATCTCCTGGCCCTGCTCGAAAGCCCCAAGGCCCTGACCCCGGGCCTAAGCTGGCTGCTGCAGAGGATGCAGGCCCAGGCTGCCGGCCAGACCCCCAAGACGGTGAGGGACAGTCCAGGCAGACCAGGGGAGTGGGTGAGGAGGGCCCCATGGCCTAGGGGGCCAGGCCTGGCTGCAGAGCCTTCAGGGAGCCTGGGGGCCTGGGGAGACGCCCGGGAGTCGGCCTCCTGCTGGGGATTCGCAATGTGGAGCTCACTACCGGGCAGCTGGGGGCCTGCAGGAGCCCCAGGAGGGGCCTCACGAGGGAGGAACCCAGAGGGCTGAGTGGGAGCCTGAAGCAGCTGGGCCCGGCAGGGAGGGCTGTGGCCCCAGGGAAGGGCGGGGCTGGTGGGGGCAGATCCTGTAGTTGGCGTGGGAGATGCATCCAGGGGCAGCTGGGTGGATGGCAGAACTGGATGCAAGGTCACACCAAAGGCTGAGGCAGAGGCCCCCTCTTCCCCAGGCCTGCGTAGACATTCCTCAGCTGCTGGAGGAGGCGGTGGGGGCGGGGGCTCCAGGTAGTGCCGGCGGCGTCCTGGCTGCCCTGCTGGACCACGTCAGGAGTGGGTCTTGCTTCCATGCCTTGCCGAGCCCTCAGTACTTCGTGGACTTTGTGTTCCAGCAGCACAGTAGCGAGGCTCCTATGACGCTGGCCGGTGAGGCCTGGGCTAGGCTGTGGAGGGGGCACCCCCGAGTCCCCAGCCTCCATGTCCCTGGGGGGCAAGGCTGGAGCCCACACAGACTCGCCATGCTGACTCTTCTCCCTGCTAGAGCTGTCGGCCTTGATGCAGCGCCTGGGGGTAGGCAGGGAGGCCCACAGTGACCACAGTCATCAGCACAGGGGAGCCAGCGGCCAGGACCCTGTGCCCCTCGTCACCTCCAACGATAGCTCCAGTGTGTGGGATACGGTGAGCTGTGCCCTGGGGTAAGATGGGGTCCCACTGGGGTCTGCTCAGGCCCCTGAGCCTGTCCTGCCACTCCCCAGGTATGCCTGAGTGCCAGGGACGTGATGGCTGTGTATGGACTGTCAGAGCAGGCTGGGGTGACCCCGGAGGCCTGGGTCCAACTGAGCCCTGCCCTGCTGCAACAGCAGCTGAGTGGAGCCTGCACCTCCCAGCCCAGGCTCCCCGTCCAGGACCAGCTCAGCCAGGCAGAGAGTGAGTGCCCACCCCGGCACTGTGCTGGCAGTGCAGAGGTGGGGCCCACATAGGGAGGAAGGAGTGGCTGCCGAGGGTGAAGGATGGAGAGAGGGAGCAGGGCCTGGAAGTTGAAACAGCAGACACAGGGGAATGTGGCATCGCCAGGAGGGGAGTGGGGCTTTGAGGCAGGAGCGTCAGCCTGAGTGAGGGACTGGCCCACACTGACCGCCTGCAGCTCTGGTGAGCGACGCCCGGGAAGCAGGGGCTGAGTCTGGAAGAAAAGCTCTCACAGCCACCTCACCCGCCCCCAGGGTATCTGTACGGCTCCCTGGCCACGCTGCTCATCTGCCTCTGCTCAGTTTTTGGCCTCGTACTGCTGACCTGCACTGGCTGCAGGGGGGTCACCCACTACATCCTGCAGACCTTCCTGAGCCTGGCGGTGGGTGCACTCACTGGGGATGCTGTCCTGCACCTGACGCCCAAGGTCTGCCCCCACAACCCCCCGATCCTGGCCTTCCCTTCCCCACCATGGACCCCCAGGCCATGCCCTCCCAGGGCCCTTACCCACACCACCCCCTGACCCCTGACCCCTCTCCCTGGGTCTTGGAGGGAGGCGCCCTGTGACCCCCCCAGCCCAGCGCCCCTACTCCCCAGGTGCTGGGGCTGCACACACACAGCGAAGAGGGCCTCAGCCCACAGCCCACCTGGCGCCTCCTGGCTATGTTGGCCGGCCTCTACGCCTTCTTCCTGTTTGAGAACCTCTTCAACCTCCTGCTGCCCAGGGACCCGGAGGTCAGGCTTCTTGGGAAGGTACCCGGCGGGTGGGTGTGCTGGGGGCCTGGCGGACACTGAGCAGCTACCCTCACAGGACCTGGAGGACGGGCCCTGCGGCCACAGCAGCCACAGCCACGGCGGCCACAGCCACGGTGTGTCCCTGCAGCTGGCACCCAGCGAGCTCCGGCAGCCCAAGCCGCCCCACGAGGGCTCCCGCGCGGACCTGGTGAGTGGGCGCCCGATGCCCCACCCCACGCGGAGCCCCTCCCACAGACCCCTTCCCAAGCCCACACTCCCAGCCCCACCCCAGGCCTGCGGCCCCGCCTCCCTCGGTGATCTGGGGCCCCGCCCCGCCGCGTTCCTCCTCTATCTCTGGGCGGGACTTACTCAAGGCTCCTCCCAGGTGGCGGAGGAGAGCCCGGAGCTGCTGAACCCGGAGCCCAGGAGACTGAGCCCAGGTGAGCCCAGGGGACGACCCCGGAAGGGCTGGGGGATCTGAGGTTTGTGTGGAGCGCGAGCGGGGCCCGGGGCTTGGCGGTCGGGGACAGGCCACGCGAACCCACGGCCGCTGCATCCGCAGAGTTGAGGTTACTGCCTTATGTGATCACGCTGGGCGACGCCGTGCACAACTTCGCCGATGGGCTGGCCGTGGGCGCCGCCTTCGCGTCCTCCTGGAAGACCGGGCTGGCCACCTCGCTGGCGGTGTTCTGCCACGAGTTGCCGCACGAGCTGGGTGAGCGGCGGGCGGGGCCTGGAAGGAGACGGCCGGGGCCGCGCGGGGCTGGGCGGGGAGACCGGGAACAGGTGGGCGGGTCCTGGTGGTAAGAGCGCGCGACCGAAAGGAGGTGGGCGGGGCATGTAAATAGGAGGGCGGAGCTGTTGATGTGGACCCGCCCGCAGGGGACTTCGCGGCCTTGCTGCAGGCGGGGCTGTCCGTGCGCCAAGCGCTGGTGCTGAACCTGGCCACTGGGCTCACGGCCTTCGCGGGTCTCTACGTGGCACTCGCGGTTGGAGTCGGCGAGGAGAGCGAGGTCTGGATCCTGGCAGTGGCCACCGGCCTGTTCCTCTACGTGGCACTCTGCGACATGGTCAGGATGGTGAGGGGAGGGGCTGCTCTGGGCCGGGAACTGAGCAGCGGAGCTGAGCAGGGGCGCTGACCTGGTACCCACTTGCTCCTCAGCTCCCGGCCATCTTGAAAGTACGAGACCCACGGCCCTGGCTCCTCTTTCTGCTGCACAACGTGGGCCTGCTGGGCGGCTGGACCGTCCTGCTGCTGCTCTCCTTGTACGAGGATGATATCACCCTCTGATACCCTGCCCTAGTCTCCCACCTTTGACTCAAGATCCCACACCCCACAAACCTACAGCCCAGAAACCAGAAGCCCCTATAGAGGCCCCAGTCCTAACTCCAATAAAGACACTCTTGTCCTTGCAGCATGGCTGTGCTCTCCTTGTTGGGTGGGAAAGGTCCTCAGCTGAGAAAGGACAATTGCGGCACTGCCTTCTCCCCATCGGGGTGCCTCGAAGAGACGCAGGAAGAGCTGCACTCAGGGCCCCCCAGGCAGCCAGCCTCAGGCACCCCCTCTTTGATGTGGAGACCCTGCCTGCCTGAGGAGTGGGGTCAGGGAAATTCGCTGGGGTGTGTGGGCAGCAGGTGGGACCCTGTCCCCAAACAGTAATCAAACTTGCTTACCCATAACTGCTTACACAGCTGAAGGCATATTTTTCTGTCATGGAAAGCAAGCCTGGAGATAATCAGACCAGAGTGTGGCAGCCCATGGTTCCTGGGACCCCAGCCTCTTCTGACTCTGAGGCGTTAATCCTGAGTCCCTATGTAGTGGCCTCCTAGGGCTCCCATAACACAGCCTACCACAAACTGAGTGCCTTCAAACCAGAAACTTATTTTCACAGTTCTGGAGGCTAAAAGTTAGGAATCAAAGCATCAGGAGACTAATGCTCCCTCTGAAGTCTCTAGGAAGCAGTCTGTTCCCCAAACCTTTCCTGGCTACTGGTGGCCCCAGGTGTTCCTTGGTTTGTGGGCAGTATGACTCCAATCTCTGCCTCTGTCTTCACATGACCTCCCCTCCTCTCTCCTTTTCTTTTCTTTTTTCTTTCTTCTTTTGAGACAGAGTTTCAGTCTGTTGCCCAGGCTGGAGTACAGTGGCACCATCTCAGCTCACTGCAACCTCTGCCCCCCAGGTTCAAGCAATTCTCCTGCATCAACCTCCCGAGTAGCTGGGATTACAGGTACCCACCACCATACCTAGTTAATTTTTATATTTTTAGTAGGATGTGGTTTTATCCTGTTGGCCAGGCTGGTCTCGATCTCCTGACCTCAGGTAATCCACCCACCTCAGCCTCCCAAAGTGCTGGGATTACAGGTGTGAGCCATTGCGCCCGGCCCACATGACCTTCTTTCTTGTGTTTCTATCTCTTCTGGTTATTTTTATTGTATGTTTTTTGAGACGGAGTCTCACTCTTGTCACCCGGGCTGGAGGGCTCACTGCAACCTCTGCCTCCTGGGTTCAAGCGATTCTCCTGCCTCAGTCTCCCGAGTAGCTGGGATTACAGGTGTGCGCCACCATGCCCGGCTAAGTTTTGAAGGGGGCCAGCCCCTCCACACCTGTGGGTATTTCTCGTCAGGTGGGATGAGAGACTGAGAAAAGAAATAAGACACAGAGACGAAGTATAGAGAAAGAACAGTGGGCCCAGAGGACTGGTGCTCAGCATACTGAGGACTCGCACCAGCACCAGCCTCTGAGTTCCCTCAGTATTTATTGATCATTATTTTTCCTATCTTAGCGAGGGGAGTGTAGCAGGGCAACAAGTGGGGAGAAGGTCAGCGGGGAAACATGTGAGCAAAGGAATCTGTATCATGAATAAGTTCAAGGAAAGGTGCTGTGCCCGGATGTGTACGTAGGCTAGATTTACGTTTCTCTCTTGTTTTTTTTTTTTTTTGAGACGGAGTCTTACTCTGTCGCCCAGGCTGCAGTGCAGTGGCGCGATCTCGGCTCACTGCAAGCTCTGTCTACCGGGTTCACGCCATTCTCCTGCCTCAGCCTCCTGAGTAGCTGGGACTACAGGCGCCCGCCACTGCGCCCGGCTAATTTTTTTTTTCTATTTTTAGTAGAGACGTGGTTTCACCGTGGTCTTGATCTCCTGACCTTGTGATCCGCCCGCCTCGGCCTCCCAAAGTGCTGGGATTACAAGCGTGAGCCACCGCACTTTACCCAAACATCTCAGTGTAGCAAAGAGTAACAGAGCAGCAGCGCTAGATTTATGTTTTTCTTTACCCAAACATCTCAGTGTAGCAAAGAGTAACAGCAGTATTGCTGCCAGCATATCTCACTTCCAGCCACAGAGCGGTTTTCTCCTATCTCAGAATAGAACGATTGGGAATGGTCGGCTTTACACCAAGACATTCCATTCCCAGGGAGGAGCAGGAGACAGAAGTCTTCCTCTTATCTCAACTGCGAAGAGGCCTCCCTCTTTCACTCCTCCTCCTTAGCACAGCACAGACCCTTTACGGGTGTTGGGCTGGGGGATGGTAAGGTCTTTCCTTTCCCACGAGGCCATATCTCAGGCTGTCTCAGTGGGGGAAACCTTGGACAATACCCAGGCTTTCTTGGGCAGAGGTCCCTGTGGCTTTCCACAGTGGATTGTGTCCCTGGTTAATCGAGAATGAAGAATGGCAATTTTACCGAGCATACTGCCTGCAAACATATTGTTAATGAAAGGGCACAAACATAGATGTGTACCCGCCCCCCGCTACACCCTATTGCTAAACCCTTTGTTCTGCTCTCTAATCTTTGCACATATCAGAGATTTGTTAAGTTCTGTAAGTACCTGTTTTTCTGCACATACCAGAGATTTTGTAAGTTCTGAGGCAAGGTCACAAGACGTGTTTAAGTAAGATAAACTCTTGCTGCCATAAACCAGTTGGGCAGCCTGACGCAATATAATTAACTGCCTTTGTGTAAAACTGCTCTCCCGCCTCAAAGGTTGAACCGAAATATCAGAAATGGCAGGAACCAATCATAGTTAGCCAAATCGCCTTGTTCAAACACTAGCCAATCATATATCTGATTTGTATAATAATTCTATGCCCACTTTTCTTAGACTATATAACACTGCTCGGAGCTCAGTGGGGGAGCTCTCCTGCCCGTCTCCTTTCGCGAGCGAGTGAGAGTTCCAGGTTCGAACCTGTAATAAAGATCCTTGCTGCTTAGCTTTGACTCTGGACTCTGGTGGTCTTCTTCGGGGAATAAACGGTCTGGGCATAACATTAACAAGGCACATCCTGCACAGCCCTAAATCCATTAAACATTGATTCAATACAGCACATGTGTTTGTGAGCACAGGGCTGGGGCTAAAGTTACAGGTTAACAGCATCTCAAAGCAGAAACAATTTTTCTTAGTACAGATCAAAATGGAGTTTCTTATGTCTTCCTTTTCTACATAGACACGGTAACAATCTGATCTTTCTTTTCCCCAAGATTTTTGTATTTTTAGTAGAGACTGGGTTTCACCATGTTGGCCAGGCTGGTCTGGAACTCTTGACCTCAGGTGATCCGCCCAACTCTGCCTTCCAAAGTGTTGGGATCACAGGCGTCAGCTATCGCCTCCTATTGACTTTTAAAAGGAGGTTGAGTGTGGCTCAGGGGTCACACGCCTGAGCATCCAAGTGGCCCTTCCCCCACTGCCCAATGAGCAAGTGAGTAGATTTGGATGCCACAAAAACACATATTTCCACGCCATTTTCTTGGGCGTAACGATACTTTCTTGTTTTATTTCTCATGATTCCGTTTCTAGGTCCTAGGCCCGTGCCTGGTCCAGGATCCAAGCTCCTGGAAGCTGGCACTGGGCCCGCCCTGGGTAGGCAGCAGTGAGCAAGGCGGGCGGACAGCGCTGGGCTCGCGGGCCTGCGGGGTCCTGCGTCCTCCGCGGGAGTGTTGGCGGCGGGGGTCGCTCTGCGAGGGGACACTGAGCAGAGGGGCGTGCGGCCTCTCTAGGAAGCTTTCTCGGAGCCCCCGACGCTGGCAAGGCGCCCGCCCCCTCTTCCGGACCCCGGCGCGGCCCCCTGCACCTGGGGGCTAGCAGCGGAGTCGCTTCTCCCTGCAGCCCTCCTGCGTCTGGTGGAGACGCATCCCCGGCGGACCCCGAGCCGCTGCAGCCGGCGCCCCTGCGGCTTCTCACCCGCGCTACTCCGCCCGCAGCGGAGGCCCCGCACTTCGCGCGCTAGGAGTTTGGAGTCTGGACGCCCCGCCCGGAGCCGAGCCGCCAGGCCGCCCCGCACCCCGGGCCACCAGGGGCCGCTGTCGCCCCTGCAGCAGCTCTCACGGGGCGGCGCTGCGCAGGCGCCGAAGCCCGGAACCTTCGCGCCCAGCTTCTGGGCCCGGCCGGGCCAGGTTCGCCGCTGTCCCGGTTCCCCTCGAGTCGGCTCCAACTGCCAGGTGGGCAGCCGGGAGGGCGGCCGAGGCGGCAGCGCGAGGCCGGCGAGGGACGCGGTACGGGGCCGGGGTCCTGCGCGGGCGACCCCGCTCACTCTTCCTCTCCCGGCCTTGCGCAGCCCGGGTTGGCGCCATGTACGCCGTGTACAAACAGGCGCATCCGCCCACCGGCCTGGAGTTCGCCATGTACTGCAACTTCTTCAACAACAGCGAGCGCAACCTCGTGGTGGCCGGGACCTCGCAGCTCTACGTGTACCGCCTCAATCGCGACGCCGAGGTAGGTCGGGCCCTGGGCGCCCTCCCCGCTCTCCGCGACGTGAGTGCTCTCACCGCCCCCCGTTGCAGATGGAAGAGCCAAGCCCCAGACAAGTTCAGTGATTTGCTTAAGGTTCCCCTGCCTCAGGAGCCAGGATATGACCCAGAATCTCTTGTGCTCAGGTCCTTTCTCGTAGCTGCTACCCTGTCCTGCCTCCCTTCGTGCCCCACCGGGAAGGGCGCGCTGCCCTAGCCGTCTTGTTTGCTCTTCTGTTTTTTCAGCAAGTTGTTTGGAAGGAACGAACGCCCACTGTGTGCTGGGTAGCAGGGATACCATGTGAACCACACCTGCAGACACTTGGGGGAGGGGAACATCTAAATAAACACACCTGCCCCTGAAGCAAGTGCTGCTGCGGGGATAAAGGAGTGAATGAAGGAAACTCTGTATTTCCAGTCGCATGATCAGAAGAGCCTGTCTGAGGCAGAGCGGGAGTTTATCAGAGGAAGGACATTCCTAGCACCAGGAACAAGGCCAGGTCTAGGATGGGGACAGACTGTTGACAGGAGTCTTGGTACACTGGGGCACGTGCCTCAAGGGTTTGGGAAATACAGTGGCATTTTGGTTGCCAGAGGGTTGAAAGCTGGTCCAGAAACGCTACTTGCAAGAGGCAGTTTCTCCATTGTTCTTGAAGGGAGGAGTAACTCTTACCCAAGCCCAGGGAAGGTGAGAGGAGGGTGTTCCAGGCAGAAGAAAGAGCCTGTGCACAGGTCCAAAGCAGTTGAGGGTGGAGAGTCATGCACGGTGTGGCCGTGGTGTAGAGTGGATGTGGTGGTGGGGATGGAGGGAGGTAGGCTGTGGTCAGGACTGTTCTCCACAAAGCAGGTAGGAGCCACAAGAGAGTTGTGAATAGGGGCTGACCCAGCAAACAGATGGGTCAGAGGCGTAGGTCAAAGGAGGCCAACCCTCCTGGGCACCTACCCCAGCATACACGTGTTTGCTGGCCAGGGCTCCATCCTCTGAAGGCTTGACGAGGGCTGGAGTTTCTGCTCCGAACACATTGTTGGCAGGAGGCTGCAGTTTCTCGCCACATGGGCCCCTCCCTGGGTCAACTCACAACATGGCAGCCTCCCTCACAATGAGAGACTCACCAAGACTGAAGCCACAGTGAGTCCTGTAACCTAATCTCAGGCTGGGTGCATTGGCTCACAACTATGGCCCCACACTTTGGGAGGCTGAGGTGGGATGACTGCTTGAGGCCAGGAGTTCAGGACTGGCCTGGGCAACTAGCAAGACCCCATCTCTGCAATTTTTTTTTTTTCCTGGTGAGACAGAGTCTTTCTCTGTCACTCAGGCTGGAGTGAAGTGGTGTGATCTCACGCTAACTTTAACCTCTGCCTCATAGGTTCAGACAATTATTGTGCCTCAGCCCCCTAAACCCTCCACCCAGTAGCTGGAATTACAGGTGTGGGACACCACGCCCGGCTAATTTTTTTTTCTTTTTTTTTTTTTTGTATTTTTAGTACAGACAGGGTTTTGCCACATTGGCCGGGCTAGTCTCAAACTCCTGAGCTCAGGCAGTCCACTCACCTTGGCCTTCCAAAGTGCTGGGATTACAGGAGTGCACCGCTGTGCTTGGCCCAAATATAAAATATAAAAGTTAGGCCGGGCGCGGTGGCTCACGCCTGTAATCCCAGCACTTTGGGAGGCCGAGACGGGCGGATCACGAGGTCAGGAGATCGAGACCATCCCAAGCTAGACCTCTGCTCTCTAAAAAAAAAAAAAAAATATAAAGGTTAGCTGTGTGGCCGAGCGCCGCGGTGGCTCAAGCGCTGTAATCCCACACTTGGGAGGCCGAGACGGGCGCATCACTGAGTCAGGAGATCGAGCACTATCCTGAGCTAAACACAGTGAACCCCATCTCTACTAAATAAATACAAAACAAATGGCCGGGCGGGTGCGGGCCTGTATCCAGCTACTCAGGAAGGCTGAGGCAGGAGAATGGGCGTAAACCTGGGAGGCGGAAGGCTCTGGTAGTGAGCCGAGATCTGGACCGACTGCACTCCAGCGCCTGGGCGGCAGAGGTGAGACCTCCGTCTCAAAAAAAAAAAAAAAAAAGTATAGCTGGCCTGTGTGTATCCTAGCTACATGGGAGCCAGGGTGGGAGGGATCGCGCAATCCCCAGGAGGTCGCAAGCTGCAGTGGCTAGATTGCCACCACTACACTCCAGCACTGGACAACAGAGTGAGACCCGACATCTCAAAAGA